CTCTCCCCCACCACCCCCAGCCCCCCCGGCTCCAGAGCCTGTGGAGGAGCCTGTTGTAGCCGTGCCACCGCCCCCTGCCACAGCTCCTAGTGTCCCAGAGCTGCCCCCCACTTCCCTGGCTGAGGACGACCCGGCTGTGATCAACATCAACAGCAGTGAGGAGGAGGAGGAGGAGGAGGAAGGCTTTGATGAGGAAGAGGAGGAGTACTTTGAGGATGAAGAGGATGACGAAGAGGAAGAAGAGGTATTTGAGAGCAGAGGGGGGAAGAGTCTCAGAAACTCCCCATCCCCTTTCATCAGGGCTCCCACCACTCATCCCAGGCTGCGGGCTGGGTCTCGCTGCCCGTGCTCCCCTGCTGGGCAAAATTCCAGTTTAAACGAAGGTGCCAAACGCATGACTCTTTTAGGGTCTTGCTCAGTTCTGGCTCAGGGTATGAGGAGCTGCAGTCAGGTGTCTGCAAGCAGTAGGGTGTTAGGGGGGTACTCTAGTTTTCCACCAGCCGCTGGGCCCAGGAGTCTGCCCTCAGCAAAGTTGCACAGAAAGCTAGAGCAGCCCCGGGCATTGTGATAAGAGCAGTGCAGTAGCTACCTTAACAAGCACCAGACAGTTCTTTTTCCTGAAGTGGGTCATTGAAGCGTGGGATTCGTTGCTACCAGAGCTCGTAGAAGCTGAGAGTTTAGCTCGATTCACCAAGGGATTGGACAAATTCTTGGAGGAAAGGGGCATCCATAGCTATTGAGCACAGGAGTGAGGGGCATGGCCTCTGAATCAGAACATCCTAAACCCTAAATGCTGGAGGGTGCAAGTGAATGAGGAATTGGAATAAACTCTGGTCAGACCCAGTTCACTTTTTCGTCCAGTATCTGCTCTCTGCTGCTGTGTAACACGAGAGACAGGGCAAGATGGACCTAGGGTCCAAGTCGGTCAGTGGTAGTTCTTAGGTCAGGCTCTGACTGCCAGCTGTGCCCTGCCGTGGGCAGCTTCAGTCTATGTCTCTCAGAAGGAGCGGGGGGCTTATCTAGCTGCAGAGAAGGGCCAGCAAGGCACTGGGGTCTGGAGCCAGAGAGCTTGGCAAGGCTAGGGTGTTGGGGATAGGCCTCAGGGGTTCTAACACTCCATATGGCTTGGAGGTAGCAGAGTGGGGATTGGTTTTCCCCAGCTGTTGGAAACAGCTGGGCCAAGGGCCCCTTAGAGGTCAATCCTGTCCCTGGTTTGCTGCTGGCAGGACTAATTAAGACAAATCCAGGCATTGAGTAACCAGAGCACCTATGCCCACTGCTAACTGCTTAGAGGCAGCTTAGGTGTCCAGAGTGCCTTTGAAATGCTGCAGTCCGTGTATCTTCATTGGTTTAAGGAGCCTTCTCATTTGTGGCTAGCAGGCCGAAGCTGTGCTGGGAAGATGCGCAGCCTGAGACCTGGGCTCTGGGGGGAATCCTCGCTGCAGAACAATTTGTAAAGGGGCTGAGAGCATCCCTGTAGTCCTCTGTGTCCACCCCAGACAGGGTTGGGTCTTTTGGCAACCCCACACTGATGAAGGAGGTCCTGAATAGACCCTAGGCAGATTCTCCCTCCGGAGCCAGATGTCTGGGGGGCAGGAAGGGGGTTTGGGCCCCAGCACTGACCCCAGCTTCCCTAGGAGGAGGAAGGCTTTGAGGAAGAGGAGGACGAGGAGGAAGAAGACTTTGAGGCAGAGCTGGAGGAGGAGGAGCTGGAGGAGGAGGACGAGGAGGAAGAGTATGAGGAAGATGAAGGGCTCTCAGAGGAGGAGGAGGAGGATGAGGAGGAGGGCCACAGTGGCCCCCCACCATCAGTCCCCACCCCAGTACCACCTGCTGCTGACATCAATAAGGCCCCTGAGCCTGAGGATCTCATCATGGAGGTGGAAGAGACACCTGCACCCCCCGAGGAAGAGGAGGAGGAGGACGAAGAGGTGGTGGTGATGAAGACTCCGGCCCTGCCCCAGCAGGAGGAGGAGGCTGGAGGAGGGCAGGAGGGTGCAGCTGGAGTTCCCCCACCTCCCTTGGCTGTGCCCGTGCCCACACCCCCTCCACCCCCCAGCCCCTTCCCAGCTGCTGTGGAGGAGCCACTGCCCCCCGTCCTGGAGGCTCTGCCCCCCAGCCCCGAGGAGGCAGAACCCCCAGCCCTGCTGCCGCAGCCCCCCCAAATTGAGGAGGTGCCCCCCACTAGCCCAGAGGAGGGTGCTGGTGAGGGCAGTGCCGAGGCACGCCCCCCTCCAGGCGCCCCTGAGGAAGAAGTAGTTGTGGCCATCAAGGAGGAGGTGAGAGGAGTCTGGAGGTATTTGTGAGTGGGGAGGACTCCTGGGGGCATGTTTTGGGGGGAAACCTGAGGAAGGGGGGTACTCTGGGGAAAAGGAACCACTCAAAACACTGCCCTCCTCTCTGCTTTCCCTCTCACCCAGGTGGAGGAGGTGGATGAGGCGGCGACCATGCTGGCTGACTTCATCGACTGCCCCCCAGATGATGACAAGACCCCCCCTGAAACTGGTTCCTAAGCATTGGGGGGCCCCTAGCTTTCCAAAATCCTGACTGGCTGGGCTCCCCTCCACCCCCCAGCTCCCCATTTTGTACTGATTCCCCCAAACGCGTGGAATAAAGCCTGTGAGTTATAGAGATGTCTTGAGTCTCTAAGGGGGGTCTAGGGAGGCAGGGGGCTGGGTTTGGGGGTGATGGGGTGTGCAGGGACTGGGCCCCCCTCCCTTCCCCTCCACAGCCCAGTGGATCCAGTCAGCTCTACTGGGTCACGCTTCTCTGACCTCACAGAGCTGTGGCTGCTGGAGAACCAGGGCTTTGGTTCATTATCTAAGTCCAAACACCAGGCTTCTGTGGGAGTGGAGTGATGTCCATTGTGTTAAAGCAAGATTTGATGTGGGGGTGAGTACTACGGGCCCAGACATCTAGGTTTTCTGGGGAAGTAGCGGGGGCTGGTGGGTTGCAGCAGGTCTCGGGTGGGGGCAGCGGCGGGCGGGCTGGGTTACTTCTCAGTGCTGGGAGGAGGATCTGATCAGGGGGTAGGCTGTGGGAGCCTGGACACCTGGGTTCTCTGGGGGGTTAGCTAGCTGTAGTGTCCTAGGTTTTCCCTCCTCCCTCCCCCCAGCAGGCAGCAAGTAAAGTGGGGAGAGCGGGGCCTGATCCTGTTAGGGTACTGCTGCTCCTTGCATGCCTGGTTCTACTACCACGACAGGGACTGGACCCCTGGGGAAGGATGTTCTGCACTTCCTCTGCTGCTGCTGGCCATGGTGGGGCACCACTGTCTGCCTGCCCAATGGCACAGGGGCCCAGATGCCTGGGTTCTCTCCTTGCTCAGGGAGGGATTGGGTCTGGGGGCCTTAGACCAGGGGTGCTGAGAGTCCTGATGCCTGGGTTCCAGCTCATGGCGAATGTGAAATTGGGCAAGGTTGGGTCCCTGCTGGCAATGGCTGGGGGGATGAGATAGGCAGACTCAGGCACACAGTGACATATGCAGAGATGCACGCAGACTGAGACAGATGTACCCTGTTTCCTCTAACCTGCCTGTTCCTGCAGGAAATGTTTCCTGGGGCTAAGGAAAGAGCTAATGAGGCCCACTGTGGTTTAATGGAGGGAGAGATGGCTTGGGGATTCATCTCTCACCAGACAAGAACCAGAGGTCAAAATATGAAACATAGGCAGTCAGTTTAAAGCTAACACAAGGAAATTCTTTTTCCCCCCAGCATGGCATTCAAGGGTGGGACTCATTCTTACCAGATGTGGTGGAAGCTGAGAGTTCAGCCAGATTCATAAAGGGATTAGACATATCCTTGGAGGAAAGGGGCGTTGGTAGGTATTGAGCATGGGAGTGAGGGGCACAGCCTCTGAATCAGAACTTCCTAAACCTTAAATGCTGGAGGCTACAAGTGGGAAAGATCCAGGTCAGACCCAGTTCACTCCCTTCCAGCATCCACACTCTGCTGCCATGTATGTGACTGCTGGCTGTGTCCCAACATGGGCAGCTCCAGCCTCTGCCACTTGGAAGGGCCACCTGGGGGTTTGCCTGGCTGCAGGAGTCTGAAGCCAGACAGCCTGACAAGACATGGTGTGGGGGGTAGGCATCGGGGGTTGTAACACTCCATGGCTTGGAGACAGTGGATGAGACTGCTTTCCACCAGCTGTTGGGAACAGCTGGCCCCTATGCCCCACGGACTTCAGCCCTGTCCTTGGTTTGCCGCTGGCAGGACTAATTAAGCTTAATAAATCCAGGTAGTGAGCCTGTGTGCTGTCATGGCTTCTAGTTAGGTCAAGCTACGTCAGGCTAGAACAAGGTCTACCTTGCACATATGGCTTTTCAGCATCTGCGCGCTGCTGCCATGTGACACAGGACTGGGCAAAATGGACCTAGGGTCTGACCCAGTCCATGGCAGCTCTGTTCTTATAGGGCCCGGTGCGGGGTGGAGAGGAGTGGGGGGATTGACGAACAGGACTGAGAGCTAGCACGTCTGGGCCCTATCCCCACTCTGGGAAAGGATGGAGCCTGCTGGGTTAAGAGTGCAGAGGGGACAGAGAATGGGTTCAATCAGGAAGTCTGTAAGTGGTTCTATTGGCCAAAGGGAAATTAAAGTGGGGGAGACATCAAACTTACCCTCTGGAGGTAGTAGAAGGAGCTTGCTTCCCCTCCCCCCCTTATTTGCAGGGGAGTCCTGAATCCCTCTGCTCTGACCCTCCAGCCCAGAAGCAGGGGGGGTGACTCCAGGGCACTTCCCCCTGGGAAGTTCCCAGCAAGAGGCAGAGGAAGAGAAGCTTCAGGTTTACAGGTGAGAGAGGGGCAGGGGGAGACCCCAGAACCCAGCCCTAGGGATAACGCCAAACCTCCTCCCATGGTTGATGACATGACAGAACAAGGAGCAATGATCTCAAGTTTCAGCATGGGAAGTTTGTTAGATATGAGGGAAAACCTCAGTAGGAGGTTAATAAAGCACTGGAACAGGTAACCCAGAGTGATTGTGGAGTCTCCATCCTTGGAGGTTTTTAGGAACTGGGTAGACAAAGTCTTGGCTGGGATGATCTAATTGGGGCTGGTCCTGCTTTGAGCAGTGGGGCTGGGCTAGATGAGCTCCCGAGGTCCCTTCCAGCCCTAATTTTCTGTGATCCTGTGACTCCTGGGAACTCACTGTGAGGACCCCACCAAGCCCCCACCAGCTACCAACTCCCCAAGGGGCCTCTCAGATCTCAGCTCCAGGGGATCCCTCAAATCAACCCCTGACTCCTCAGCTTTCAACTCAGGCCTCAGGTCTCAGCTTTGGGGACCTTTCTCAGCACCCCCCCCTCCCAATGTTCAAGACCCCTTTAATCCCTGGGGACTTTCAGAACTCCATCCCTGCCTCCATAGCTTGCATCACAGACCCTACTTGCATCTCAGCCTAGAGCCACCCCCCACCCCCAAGAGCCACCCCTAAACCTTAGGGAGATCCCCAGAGCTGCCCTGACACTGCTAGGCTGATTTCTGATTGTCCAAGTGAGCTGAGCTGTATTTCTGATGTGTGCATGCTTTCCCAGCCTTGGTACCTGCATTCATCACAGGCCACTGTGGAGCATCCCTTGCTTTTCTTGGACACATCTCAGAGCCATGTGTCCCCTGCTCCTGTCTTCTCTCTCTCCTGTCTTTCCAGAAGATCTCTGGAACACTTAAATCTTCACCCCTAGAGCAAAGCGCTGCTAAGTGCCTCACATTGCTTCAAAGGGTTGCTAGAAGGCAGGTAGGTGTTTCCTAGCCCTGCCAGCACAGAGCTAGCCTTGCTTTTTGGAACAGCAGCAGCTTCTGCAATGATTGCCCCCATGGTATAGGACACTGGCAGTGCTTTCTTGGCCAGATTAACGTGTGCTCTCTGCCAGTGGGCTCTGATCACCTTCCATTTCACTGTGGGATCTGGAGAGTGTGTCTATTTAGGAGTTCTGAACACCCCTCACCCCTTTGTCCTGCACTGGAGGTATTGCTCCCATCTTCCTTCCAGTTCCTCTGATCCCAGAAGCAGATCCATCTGAATCGCAACCATAAGCAGGTGAGAGAAGCAGATGGTGAGGGACAGTTGCAAGGGAGCTGAGATGCACAGGCCAGGGATCACACCCCCATGCTATTAAGATGACTCTGAAAAGAACAGTGGTCACAGGCCATAACCCAGTTTCCCTGCTTCACTGGCCAAAAGATCTTTCTCTCAGAGAAATGGGTAGGAGCACAGTGATTTGAACCTAAACTATATCAAACTCCCCCCCACTCCAGACACACACCAAGGCAGAGGGGTGGGAGTCTGGAGCTTGCCTCAAACCATGAGATGGATTCTGAGGGACCTGAGACCTTGCCAAGCAGCAGTGTGTGTGTCTATGTAGCTGCTCTTGGTCATGTTGCTTGACTGATAATACCCCAATAAACCGGTATCTAGTCCAGAGCAACTTGCTTTGGCTTCTCTTGTCCTTCTCCAGATAAAATAAAAGCCACCCCTTCACCCCCCTCGACTCCTGGGTGTGACAGCTACTATGACTAAAAGTTTTCCTGGTGTGTGTGCTATATTTAAATTATACCCCTGCCACTGCAACCAAGGCTTCTGTATTCTGGGGGTGGATCTATTAGCCTCTTTTTTTTTTTTGGCGACGCTTATCTATGGCTTGTGATTGGTTTCAGACAGAATAAGCCTTGCATAAGTGAACCCATGAAGTTCCTGAACACCATGTACCAGAGCTAGTGCTTTTTTGTCAAGTTGTACATAAAGACACGGTTTTGGTGAGTGCTCTTGATGCATAAGCTATGGGTCTTCAGGTATCTCCATGTTCTTGCCTCAGAACTGTTCCAGTGCCTTCTCTAGAAGAATCCATTGAGAGTTTATTGGGTCATTTAGGGTAAGCGTATCTCAACACAGGAGTCTTTGGGATTAATTCCTTCAGATTCTCAAATTCTCAATTCCTTCATGTTTTCAAATTCAGTGCTGTGGTTATGTTCCCCCATCTGTTGACCATTTCTTGTCCCTAGGAGTGTTCTGATGTGTCTGGTCTTTCATGCTAAGTTAAATATAAACTTCCCTACAAAACTGACCATTTCTGAGAATTTGTGCATGCTTTTCTTTTATATATAACAGGTGCCATGTTGAAAATGACCTTAACCTGGTTAGGATCAACTTGCCATTTATTCTGGTAATCTGTCTCCTAAATACCAGATTTACTCAAATCTAAGATGACCCTGAATTTAAGTAATTAGATTTCATACATGGAAAAATTGTAAATTTCTTATAATTCTCCATGTCTAGAATCAAATTATTGGCAGGTCATCTTGAATTCATCCCCCTCCCGTGCTGCTACAGGGAGGCTGGTAGTGGGGGGAGACCATGCAGCTTTCTCCCTGATTGTGTCTGCCCCCCTGCCACCTCTGCCCCCTGCCTGCTCTAAGTCATCCCAGCAGCAGCTTCTAGTAGGAAATCGTATAAAATCCTATTCCGAATTCTGTGATGAACCTGAGCTTCCTAAAACAGTTGAATGACAATATATCCAGCTGCATCAAGTATTAGAAAAAAACAGTTTGGTTTTAGGTACTGTATTTACTAAAATACAAAATGAGGATTTTTCTCCCCAGTCATCCTGAGGAAGAAAAAGCTCCTCATCTTAC